GCTCTTGACGCTTGGCCTGCCGGGATTTAATTGCTGAAACCCACTTCACCCTCCCCAAGCCAGGCCTTATCCACCTCTCCACCCCGGTGCCCCTGCTGACAGAAACCTGCTTTTGTCTCTGCTGTTGCCCTGCTTTAGTTTTCTTTTCCTACTCATCTTGAAAAGAGAGGAAAAAGTGGGATAAGAAGTGAGCCGAGGGAGAGGGGGAAATGCTTTTCTTCCTTTTGCCCCTTTTTATTGCCTCTTTAATTTTTCTTTTCAAGGGGGGCTAACCGTGGATTTCACTTAGTGTTGTGTTAAGACGTTCCCATGCACTGTTTCTTCCCCACGACTGATTCCACATACTCATCAGCCAACACGTCTTATTCTAATACAACCCACAAACCTAAACTCATGTATAAAGAAAACACAGATGCAAGAACGGTGGTTATAAAACAGATCTGGTCACAAAGATGCTTAAACTTCCAGTCATATAAGCAGCACCATCATTCACCCGATCCGTCGTCTGTTTAGAAACCCAGAAAGACTCCCTGTTACTCTCTAAATGCCAAGCCAGTGAGACAGACAACCTCACTTTTTCAACCTCAGCTGCTGCCTGTCTCAGGAATGTCTCAACAAGCGCGCAGGGGAGAGAAAAGGAAATTACAACTCAAGAGAGAAGGAGGAAAGCAAGAAGGAAGGGGGGCGGGGGCATTCCTCCTTTGCGCAGGATGACAAGCCTGTCTTTCTACTATCTCTCTCTCTGGGCCATCCACCTGCACTCTCTTCAAAACACTTCAGTTAAAGCCACACAGCTAGGATTCACTCAGCGCAGTGGCGTACTGTGGATCCATAGTATAGTGACGCCACTATTGTGCCTTATCTTACCCACTGATAAGACCTGCACAAGTCACTCATATCCAGGAAAAAAGGAAAACAGGAGAATCTAACCCAGCGAGCCACGGTTTATCTGTGATCTGGCAGTATTCTCTGACTGAACCCCTCCCCATCCAGATCCACCACAGTTTCTCCTCCACTGGGTTATCAGATGTGCCTGGCCCAGTTTGGAATGAGGCACACTCAAATAAACATACTGCCCCGGGGAGCTACGCTAGAATCACCATGTTGAGTTTCTAAGAAAAATATTCTCAGTTTTATCTCCTCTCATGGCCGCCTTGATGTTGTTGTATGTTCTGGCACTGTCTCTGGCTCTGGTATAAAGTACCAAAGTCGAGTTTCTCTTTCTCCGGAAGGAATGAGACACACATGATACTTCTCTCAGACAAACAGTAAAGTGCATGCAGTGTTTTTGCTCTTAAACTGAAATGCAGTACCCCACACACAGTGATGATATGAAAACTCGAGACCATCTGCATACGCTCCAGCTGTTGCTCGGTTCTTCCTGACTCCTTCATCTCCTGTTTATCCTCCCAAATCCTTTTGTTTTCCCTCGTTCAGTAAACACTCGCAGCACGGCAGCCACACTTTCTTTCCTCATCATCATTTCTGAACTCCGTAATGCAACCTGCCTTTTTCTCTCTGACCATTTTTATTTATGGCCACCCTTCCTCCCAGCCACTGAGGCACGACCCAGAAATCCTTTACAGCTCTGTACATGTAATTATTCACCTGTTAAAGTAAATTCCCCCGAGCGCTGTGTGTATATTATGGGATAACTGCAACCCTTCACCTCTGCTGCCCATTCAGCTGTAGCCGACAGCGAGCTGTTGCCATCAGATGTTATCATTACCTTCTGGACAAGATTTTCCATAAACAACTGCAACACTAAGCTTGTGTCCAGCTTTTCTGCATGGCTGCCAAAGTTTAGGTAGTTTTTCTGTGCTGTTAGCAGGTGCTGACTCTGAAAACTAGTTAGCTGCTTTGTTCAATCAAGCCTTGAGGTTTGAGCAGGGTCATGTTATTGGTGTCTGGCTGCACTGAATAACTTTTCTGCCCTGGCTGAAAGAGCTATCCGAATAATAAGAGTAACGCGTTGGCAGTGGGGTTCAGGCGAATGCCATGATTGCTTTTAGTCTATACACTGGAGAGGGAAAAATAAGACATCAAGGAATCTTTCCAAGGAGGTTGAAATTTCAAGGAGGAGCGGAAAGAAAAGTATGCTGAAAGAGAAGGAAAATAAATGCCATAGCTGTGGCGTGATGGGATGATACCCTTCCTCCTTCTCTCTAAAGCACCCCCTTCCCGCCCCCCCAAAGCCCTTGATCTCTTCTCCAAGTTCTGACATTTGAGGCAGTGATTTTTTTTGGAAAGAAAATGTTTCATTAAAAAGAGAGAGTGAAAGGAAAGAGCAGTAAACGAATTTTAAAAAGGAAAAATTATTTAAGTTGGCAGCAGCTCTGAAGCTACTGTAACATACACTAGGATTGAGTTAAACTGTGGCATTGACACCAATTAAAGTGAATGAAACAAAAGTACAGCATTTCTTAAACTAATTAGAAAAATACGATTAGCCCATAAAGACAATCAGACAGAAGGAGATGAAAAAAACATGTGCATTTATTTCCCAAAATGTACGATCGCTGACTACAACACACTCATATTCTGGCATAAGCAAGAAGAGATCTTGAGAAAGTGCTTCTGCAGCCTGGTTTAGTGTTTGTATATCTATTAGACAAATATAATAATGCTGTAATTTCAGAAGAAAAGAACATAGTTCCAGGACAGGAAAGGAAATTAAGAAAATAAAATGTCCAAAGCAACTTCTTTGACATTTCTGGTATAATGAGCCACAACCCTAGGTAAGCAGTGTGAGAACAGAATGTTCTCAGTCTGTGTGCTCCATCTGTGTAAAACTGTAAGTCACACATACTTGGCTTCTCGTGCAGGTATTTGTGCAGTGAAGACATCAACAACTGTGCCATTTAAGGCCCGAAAGTAAGCTCCCTCAAGTATTCAAGTAGACCAACATACAGTGCTTGTGGGTGTGTTATCCAGGAAGCAAGGTTTGGAGATATATAACTCATTTCCCTTGCCTATGATCAATAATCATGATATTAACAAGGGATGTCAGTTTTGCTAATTTTTAGGAAAAACAGCAAAATGACATGAAGTACAAGGGGCTTTTCTTTTTAATAGGGAAATCCACTGACTCGGGGAGCTTTAGCGCAGCATTTCAACGCGCTATCCATTTACACAGGGTGAAAATTTGATGTTTTGTGGTGTAAATGTCTTGAGCGGATAAACATCACAAAACAATTTCACAACCTCTAAATTGATAGTGCTTTGATAGTGCTAACGTTAGCCCCCACCGGACTCAAACATCGCTCAGTGAAGTGAACTGAAAAGTAAAAAAATTTAACCTAAAGACCTGCAAAAAGACATGCGTCAAAAATATTCCCCGTGGTTAACCAATTAACAATTAACCGTTGACATTTCTAATATTAACTTAAGTAATTGCAGGACAAATGGGGAATATTGAGTGTATTTAAGAACAGGTTGCCTCTGGTTAAAGATTACAGGCAAAGAAGTGCTTTCTATTGACTCCCTAAAGAGTTTAAAAAAAAAGATAAAACACAAAGCTATCTAAAGAAGAGCAATGGTTAACAGATAGAGATGTTGCCTCTCCCCCCCCAAGGCCGTCTCACTCGATAGCAGAGGATGATAAACTTCTACACAGACTAGTGTCAGCAGCTAGTTTCTGACTTATCTCCCCTCATTCCTCTCTCCTATCCATCATTTCTTCCCTCCTTTTCAGCCCTTTCAAACACTGTTGACGCTCTACCGGGGTATTTGTTTTATAAGGCTTGGACACAGGTGAAATGGGCTTAAGTCACAGTAACATATTGTCCTGATGGTCTAGAGTACTCTTTTCAGTCTCTGTGTATTTCATCCAGTATTAGAGACACTTGTCTGGCAAGCAATACTGGCCGTCAGTCTGTGTAATGACAACATAGAAAGCGTGTGTTATTTATATTACGTCTATGGTCAGGGAAGCAGCTCCGGGCTATCAGTGAAGCTCCTCTCCAAATTTAGAACGCCACAAAGTAAATCATCCACAGATGCGTGGCCAAGTGCAGCATGGTAGATGCACAGCCAAACAAAGTTGACACGGTATGGTTATATGAAACTGGAGAAACCAGAGCAGTGTTTATGACGAATCATCGAATGAAGCTTTTCACTGTATCAGTGGCTCCGGAAAGACAGAAAAACATTCAAAGCCACTCTGTTTTTTCACTTTGATACATCATCTCAGAAACAAAACAAGTTGGATTTGTTCATTGCCGCTGTGTGTCTGTGTTTCATAGGCTATGAAGTCTGTCATAAACATAGGGGGAACGGTTAACTGAGACCCCACGACAACCACAGTGTGTGCACTACAGTAAATAGCGGTGGGTGGGCAGCTCACGAATATAAACCCTTTTATTTACAAACACTAACGCACACATTATCATATATGCATGCATGACTGTGCCATGTGTTCGTGCACACACACATGCACACATAGTCATCTGGATCATTAAAGAGGGAAACAATGGTTTTGGCATCCTACAATACTATCTATTACACAGATCATTGCAGGAAGAATGTGGCACTCCTTTTGCCAGAAGAGCGTGGCAGGACGCCACTGTGTTAACTTTTTTCGAGAATAGCAGAAAAGTCCCTCTGAAGCCTGGGGTCACAACTACAGCCCTATTGTTTGAGGGACCTTGTGACAAAAGACTGCCTTTGATCACCAGCTATGCAAAGTTAAACCTTTGATAGTAATCTCACTCTTTGAAAGACATTAAAGAACCACACAGTGAATCAACAGCTGACACAGGCTTGTTTGGAAACTAGACAATGTAGGGAGAAAATATGCTTTGTGAAAGAAATTTAACATCATGCTGCATCTGTCTCAAATTTCTTAGTGCAACAGCTAAACTCAAACAAGGTCCGCACATGTGACAGAGGCCAGAAATATTATGTGTGCTGATGTTGTATCGTGTTTTGTTAGCATCTATTGTCTATTTCTTTGGATAATCATGCAGGTTATTAACACTTTGTTTGTTTCCTTGTTTTAGGCTGAGCATGGAGAGGGAAAAAGTCTGCACCATGAAGGTCTTTCTCACTCCGCTGATGCCCTTTCTGCTCTTCCTCATCCTTCCTGATGGCACCTTGTCCAGCGAGTGCCCAGACGACTGCACCTGTTCCACTCCAGAATCCATCTTATGTTTTCTGAGACGCTCCTCTACCATCCCACAGGGAGTGCCCCCAGCTACAAAAAGTCTCTACCTCTTTGCCAACGGCATTGAGGGCTTGACAGCTGAGGACTTTGATGGTCTGGAGAACCTGGAGATGCTGGACCTCAGTCAGAACAAACTGACTGAACTTGCTGATAGGGTGTTTGAACCTTTGACCTCTTTGAGAAATCTGGACTTGTCATCTAATCAGATTACCCACATTTCAGAGGAATGCTTTCAGGGTATGGCACTGCTTGAGCGCCTTTATTTGTATAGTAATCTTATTGAGACTATCCACCCTGCGGCCTTTAATGGCTTGGATCACCTGCTGGAGCTCAAACTCCAGGGCAACCAGCTGACATCCCTGCCTGCTCTCTCAATGCCCCAACTGCTGCTGCTGGACCTTCGCTTTAATGTCCTACCCACCTTGGGTCCATCAGACCTCCAGACCCCAAACCTGGAGTCACTCAAATTGGGTGGTGTGGGGCTCACCACCCTGGATAAGGAGCTCATAGGTAGTCTAAAGAATCTCCACGAACTGGATATCTCAGGAAACCAACTTGAGACCTTCCCTGCTGCGCTGCAGGAGACACATGGGCTGATTCATCTCAGCCTGGCTGGGAACCCGATGGGTCCTCTTAAGGTTCAGGACTTGCAGAATCTTGGAGAGCTGCAAGAGTTGGACATTAGCAGCCTCAGTTTGCAGGGCCTCCCTGAGGAGTTCTCCCAACTCTTACCCCACCTCAGAAAGCTCACAGTAGCAGAGAACCCTTTCAACTGTCTCTGTAACTTAGCGTGGTTCCCAAGATGGCTGAGAGACCAGAGCATCACCCTGGAAAGGACAGAGGAGACTCGCTGCCATTTTCCACCTGTAAATGGTGGAAAGGTGTTGGAAAGACTGGAGTACAGGGATTTTGGCTGTCCTACTACGACTACAGTCACTACTAGTACTGTTAAAACAACTACTACCCTGCCTGTTCCTGCTACCACCTTCGCAAGTACGACTAGAGCTGTCCCAGTCCCCAGGGCCAGTGACAACCCCGCAGACAAAGATGATTACTTTCCCCTGTCCCCTGTCCCTGCATTGCCCAGTAGCAGCAGCACGGATTCAGATGAGGAGCAGCATTTCTGTCCCCCTCACACCTGTCTGAATGGAGGTACTTGTCATTTGGACCAGCATGGTCAGGTAGACTGCACCTGTCCACATGGCACCTCAGGCATGTATTGTGAAAACCATCACCCACCTTCACCACCTGAAGCTGATATCCCCATGGTAACTGTCCCTGTCGACGCACCAGACATCAGCTCACATGAAGCAACCGCAACCTCAATTCTGCTGGACCTCCACCGCTACATTGAAATGCGGCCCTTCATCCGTGGAATCCGCCTGACCTACCGCAATCTGTCTGGGCCGGACCGCAGGCCAATTCAACTCAGCCTGCCAGCATCCTTCCCAGAGTACAGACTCAGAGGCCTGAAGCCCAACTCCACCTACTCTGTGTGTGCCAGTCCACTAGGTGCCCCCAGTGGCATAGACAGCGTCTGCACTGAGGCCCACACGGCTCCTGAAACTGTCAGGGGCCATGATGCACAGTTTGACGACCAGAGGCTGACCACTATGCTGGCGCCTGCAATTGGCATCTTGCTACTGCTTCTCCTGATAGCAATAGCAGTGGGAGTGGTATGCTATCTCCGCAGAAAGAGGGCCAAGGGCCACCTGGACCTGGACTGTGAGCCCTCCCAGCTAGAGCTGGATGGAGTGAAGGCTGGTTTGGACAATGGGGCACTGCCTCAAAAACAGCCCCAACTTACGATCCCTGAACCTGCTGTTCAGAATGGCAATCTGGAATATGAGGTGTTGCTACTACAGGATCACTGTACGTCGAATAACAATATGACTTCACACAAGCCTTCCTACTTTTGACACCTGGCTTTGACTACCCAGACCTAAAGGAGGATTTTAATTCTTCAGCTCTGTTTCCCCCACTGGAGAAACAGAGAGAGCAGCACATGCTGTTGTGAAAGTGGAGGACACAGTATCAGCCAGCCAACCAGTAGAGGAGAAACTGGACATATATTTAACTCGATGCCCTCCAGTTGTCTAAGTAGACATTAAACAAGTTCAAAAGCATTTGTTTGGACTTTAAAAAGTGCCTCTTCTCCATTTACATGCTGCATCCTGCTTCAGTAATACTTCTTCCCTCACACGGCTGGACTGGCAACCTCTCAGCCCCCATGCTATGATGCTGGGAGTGATGATGTGTTGTGCTTGGCTGAAACCTAGGGTAAAGGGACATAGTGACCTCAGGCCCTCCTTTATCTGTTCATACAGGAGAGCGCACTGAAATGAGGTTGCGCTGACCTTTTTCCACCACAACAGCCCAACTAAACACTATCAGCAATTGTTTTTGCTGCATGTTGTAACTCTTCAGTACTACCCCAAAGGGATCAGTGCTTGCTGTGAATGACCTTTAAGACACCAAATGAAGTTGTGCGGAGAAAATAGCTGATGCTTGTATCGCTTTATTTGGCTCTAAAACACTTGTGATTATTTTGTTTTGTACGTATGTTTTTTTTATACCTGTGTCTTTATGTTAATTTTTTTTTCATTGTGCAACATTGTGACTGTTAACAGCCCTCCACACCCTCCACCCCCACCTCTTGTGACTAACAGACAAAACAGCAGATTAAAATCTTTGAAGATTAAAACTCGTTTGGTACCAGCAAAGTCAATCAAAGGGCTTTGCCACCAGAATGTCAGACAGTCTAAGTAGATGTGAGTCTGGACAGACTCAAGACTAAATCCCTCTTCTCGATTCCGAAGCCCCCAGCCTGTTTTGCCATCACAAAGGGAGAAGGCAAGCAGGATTACAAAATGTACAGAGGGAAGCAGTTGACCGAACCCCTTCTGTTTCAGTGCTGTACTGAGTTTCAGAGCTTGTCTTAATTACAGTAAGCACTCACATGACTATACCACAGCAAAAGAGAACTTCAGAGACATTATTTATTATTTATATCGCCTGCAAGGGAAACTTTGTTTTATCCTTCAACCACAATTCACGTACAGCATACTACTTGGCCTGGCCCACAACAAGCAAAAGCAAATAGTGGTTGTGTATTGTGTTTCCTTTGAGTAAAAAAAGCCTGCTCAGTGAAATGTTGTGCACAATTTCTCCTTGGCAAACAGGGTCCCAGTTTTGAGCACTTGCACCTAACCAGACTATGGAAAGGCCAGATACACAAGAGAAGCAGAGTTCATGGTGTTTATATTGTTGTGCAGAGGACTTGCAAAGTGGGAAATTTACAGGAAGGTTATGATGCAGACACAGAGCGCTGAGATCCAAATCTGTATAAGGGGCAAAGAAGGACTCAAAGTAACCTTTGTGTGTGTGTGTGTGTGTGTGTCTGTGTGTGTGTGTGGATCTTTCAACTTAAGTGCAAGTACGTGTTCTGTCTTGTGCAAAGACCTGCAGACATCAAGTCACTATCAGTTACCCCCTTTATCTGCCCGCATGGCTAGGACTACATTAGGCCCCAAACAATTCTACCTGTACACAAAACACACCAAAGACACATCTGTGAATGTCTGTAAAGTTGCCGACTTTAAGTATTCCCAGTGCACAATTAACAGTGCCCAGCTAACAAGATTCCTCGAGAACCCATACAAACAATCAAGCAATGCAACTGGAATATTTGTCTGTAACATAGAATACATTGAAGATGACCAAAAGTATTTTCGATGTGATTGTTAATTTTTCCCTGTTTATTTTGGGAAGCTCTTTGTTGTCATTTGTTGTTGTTGTTTTTTTATTCCGTGAACATATTTGTACAAATGGAAAAAGTGATATTATCATTAAATGAATATCCAAAAACAGAACAAACCGAGTTGTCGTTTTTTGAAGTTTCCACCTTTTGTTTGTAAGAGGAGGATTAGATTGACAAGCAACAGGGGGATTGTTTGTCGTTGACTTCCTTTCCTTTTAAAGCCATCACTCAACAGAACGAGGGGAGAGATCACAGGAGGTGGAGTCCAGGAAAGAGAAAGAGAAGGGAACAAAGTGCATGTATAATTATGCTGGATAGTATAATCACCCACCCATTAGTAGTTGTGTGTGTGTGTGTGTGTGTGTGTGTGTGTGTACGTGGGCTTGTGTATTTGTGGACAGACATCCATGTTAAAATGCCCAACTTTACAGCAGTAATAAACATGTTTATAGCCTGGTACAAAAATCAGTTTTGGTCTATAGCTAAATTCCCCCTTTTTAACATCTGTACAGGGGTGAATTTTTATATAACTCACCCGTTTAGTTTATTAACACTTAAAGTTATGCATAATTAAAGGAAAGGCAATTCTGAGTGGCAGGGTGTCACCACAAGTTCTCAGTCAGTCCCTTGCTCCACCCTTTCATCTAAGTACGGTCACTTCTGGCTCCAAAACAACCAAGATGGCAATGGCCAAAATGTCAAACTCGAGGCTTTAAAAACGGCAGTGTACAAACAGATTGATGACATCACAGTAGCTACATCCATTATTTCATACAGTCTATGATCCTCTTGAATGGCTGAAAAGTGTAATAACAAGTCTATAGCCATGCTATCGGCACTGAGAGGCTGTGCTTTGAGCTAAATGCTAACCTCAGCATACTAACATGCTCACAATGGCAATGCTAACGCTAACAAGCTGTTGTTAAGGAGGTATAATTTTTATAGACCTTTTTACTGTTAGCAAACAGTGACATTTTTTGGTGGGCGGGGATTAGCTGGAGGCAAAACAATCCTCCACAGACATTAGCCAGCACTAGCTAGATGATACAAGTGGTGTATTCTGTTTTGCTATCGAAGCTAAAGTTAGCTTATGTGCTAAAAAGTTAGCATTAAGGAGAAATCCAATATTCCTCTTAATTTCTGATTAGGTGGACTTAATATAACGTTAATTATGGTGAGTGGTGGTGAGTCGTGTCATCATTGTGACGTCAGCCCTAAAAGGGTCTAGACTAGCGCTGTCAATCTTCCCCCAAAATCAGATTCGAATTTTTAATGTTTTTTATGTTAAAAATTCGAATAATATTCAAATTTTTCCTTGGTATAGGCTATAGCCTAGGTCTACCACAGCATTTTTATATTTTTTGTGTTATAATGATGTTATTTTAATATTTTGCATCACATGCAAAAGTGAGCGTCTCCGGCTGTTGCTCCTCCTCACTTCAAGTCGCTGTCATTAACTTTTAACCTGCAAAGGCGGCAGTGCCGCAACATTGTAGGAATTTATGAAAGCCCTTGTGAACATTTAAATAGTTACAAATTAAAACAATATTTATTTGCAATTACTCTATTGAACAACCCCGAAGAATGAGCAAAAAGGCTGTGTCACTTCGGATCAAAGAGATGCGCCCTGTCACTGTCAACGCAGGGTTGACAGGGCACCCTCCACTGAGAAGAGAGAGAGGAGAGGAGATGGATTGTAGGTCTGTTTGTAAACGGGGCTTCTCTGACAGTCATGTATTTCCCCAAAAAACATCTCTTAATGCACGGTAGAGCGCCGTTTTTTTTTTGTTTGTTTTGTTTTTCAAAATCGCCTTGATATCCAGCAAATCGCCTGGCAACCCTCCAATCGCCAATATACATTTGATCGCTGATTGTCCCAGGCCTATTTGCGTCATATCGGAAGTCAAATATTCGAACCTTGGTTTCCAATTTCGAATATGCTTATTTTTACAATAATTCGAATTGTTTTCGAATAGCGAAGTTCGTTCTGTCTAGTCTAGACCATGTTCATTCATTCATTCATTCATCTTCTAACCGCTTAATCCTCTTGAGGGTCGCGGGGGGGCTGGAGCCTATCCCAGCTGACATCGGGCGAGAGGCAGGGTACACCCTGGACAGGTCGCCAGACTATCGCAGGGCTGACACAGAGACAAACAACCATTCACGCTCACATTCACACCTACAGACAATTTAGAGTTACCAATTAACCTAGTCCCCAATCTGCATGTCTTTGGACTGTGGGAGGAAGCAGGAGTGCCCGGAGAGAACCCACGCTGACACGAGGAGAACATGCAAACTCCACACAGAAGGGCTCGGGAGGTGCCCGGGATCGAACCGGCAACCCTCTTGCTGTGAGGCGAGAGTGCTAACCACCACACCACAGTGCCGCCCATCTAGACCATGTTCCCCATCCAAATTTAGCATGTTAGTATGCTAATGCTAATCAGCAATAAACACAAACTACAGCTAAGGCTGACAGGAATGTAATTATTTCTTCACTTATTTGGTCATAAACCATAGTATTAGGTAAACTGGCATGCACAAGAGGACACCTCAGGGGATCATCAAAGTGATTAAAATTTTTCCTGAGGGGGGCTTGAATTTGTTTTAAAATTTCATGGCAAGCCATTATCAAATGTCATCAACATCATTAGGATTTAGCATCTTGCAACCATGAATGTCAATCCAAAAATACAGTATTAAGCTCATGGTAGTGCAGGAGGAAATGTAAGGGGAGCCTTAAAGCTAGTGGGATTCATCCTCTGGTAACCATGAATGCCTGTACAAAATTCCATGGCAATCCATTTGACACTTCTTGAGATATTTAAGTCTGAACCAAGGGAGTAGACCAACTGCCCAACTGATAGACCCACACTGTCATCCCTAGAGCCGTGCCGCAAGTATGGGTAAAAATCATTAAATCATCCAGGCACTTTAAATGATTTCTGAGGTCATGTTATTTACAACAACATGCATAAAAGTTCCATAACAGTATTCAGTTCTCTTTGCTACATTCAACAGTGCACCACCACCCCATTTTTTTTTTTACAAGACCGTTAAATGTGTGCTTTCAATGGACGAGAGGTTTTGGAATTCTTCCTCACCAGCAGTGAGCTGGAGGCAAAATGGAAATAAAGATTATGATTGAAAACACTCAGGTTAAGGTTGTAAGTGGATTTAACCATTGTGAATGACTCACTGGTCTAAACCTAATGAGTGAGCATTGTTTGCAAGCCCACACAATAAACAGGCTGACCACCCATGTGTTTTATAGGTAGGATGCCGGTAGGGGATTGATGCAGCATGCACACACACATGCCCACACCTACAAACAAACGCACGCATGTACTGGCCCAATAGCTGGGAGCTGTTGTGCAAGGTCCCATGCTAACAACACAAACACATAAAACAGCTCCACTCCTGTCATGGAGGCCCTATTATACCAATTTGCTCAGACAGAGCAAACTTCCTAGTGGAATAACAGGAGAAACAATGCACCCCCTGGAGGTCAATAAGCTTTTACTTCTGTGTTCTTCCTCCACTGTAAACCTCCATGTGTCTTGAATTTTTGAATAATATACATCAGTTTTTAAGTTGCTGTCAGCCTCTCATTTGCCAAATAAAGTAAGATGGAGTACAATGGCTGAAGCTTAAATGCGAGCATATGTGTGCATACTGTGAGGACTCCAGGTAAAAGGACAGAAGGGATACAAAGATGTTGTCAGATAAGAATAATACCTGGATGCATGTTTCTGTCTTTCTCTCCAGACAGGCATCTGCAAATGTTCATGTATGTGAATAAGAAAAGGACATGGAGAACAGTGTGTGTGTGTGTGTGTGTGTGTGTGTGTGTGTGTGTTTCTCTCCTTTCCTTCCATAAAACAGTCCCTCTTTTCTTCCCCTGGCTTTAAGAGAAACCTGGTCCCTGGATGGGGTCCAACTTTGACGCTTACACTTTGCCTGCACTGCTCAATAGCCCCTATTGTAGTTTCAAGGGACCTTTTTCCACCATCATCAACCCCCCCAAAAAAATTCCTCATGGAATTTACTTCTGAGTAAATATTCTTTTAACTCCCCTGCTTCTCTTTCTCTCTCACTCTCTCGTTTTTGTTTCTAAATTTGTTTCCATATTCAGGGCTGCGAGGAGGCAGCCAAGGACAATGTGTTAAAGCACCGGGTCATGTGGCTGCAAGTCGCATTCGTATTTCCTCTGCACATTTCAATCTTTTGCTCAAATGACTTTTTCTGTCTCTCTCTGCCTCCTTGTTTTCCATCTTCCAAATAGCCCTACGGCCCACACAACACAGCTGACCTCGCGGTAACCTCAAACCATCCCTCCAACCTCAGCCAAGAGTATTTACAGGCAGCAGTTGGGGGGCATGAAATTAACTCGACGAAAATCATGAGATGAAGCACTGAGCTGGTCATAAACTACAAACAGACGGCACACAAATAACTAAATGACATCGTCCAAAGCTGATTCAAGCAGCAGAAAAAGCTGACTGCTTTATTAATTCTATGACACAGCTTTTATTCTTGAGCTGCGTTCAGTTCCTCTGATGTTGCTACATGCTAATTAACAAGCAGAGAGGCTTTTAAAAAAGGGATTTGATGCAGCAGAGGGTAAAAGAGTAGAGAAGGAAAAGAAGAGCTGAGCAGAGAAAACACACCACCACTTTGTTTTTGGAACCTGGTTCTCTGGCTCCAGTTTTTGGCCCCGCGCTCGTTTCCCTACAGTACTCGCTCCAACTCTTCTGCCCCACATCCCACCTTCCCTCCCTCTAAATCTTTCTGAATATAATAATAACAGATGAAAGGTGGTGTGCCACCGGTTCCTCCGCACCATACAGCTGCCAGTCTGTGCCAGCAGATGGCCCAGATGCTGCTCTGACACAAAGCAGAGAGGCGAAAGACGAGAAGTGAGATGAAAAAACAGGAAAGAAAGCATAAAGGAAGAATTTGACTTTGGTTAGCTCTTGGCATCGCGCGTTAGCAGGCACACATGTAATTCATTTCACATGCTGTTTGGTAGATTATTAGATATAAAAACAAATGGCATTGTGATTTCCCCAGTGCAGATATTTTCTTACATGCTCCGTTTTGTCA